CGCCTCAATTCGCCAACTTTGGAGGCTTTCCTCAAGCCAATGGTCACACACATGCACAGAATCAGAGCCACCCCCTCGCGAGTCCGACTCAGCCTTCACAGAATCATGGTCTTTACTCTGGCATGTTGTCGCCAGACGGCATGGGCAACTCCCAGATGCTAGGAGCTCCGCAGTCTCCCGTCGGAGGCTTGGGCGGTTTGGGGAACGCCGCGTTTGGCGCTCATGCCGCCTCGGTAACTCCTGGTTTGCTTTCTGGAACGAGCCGTACTGTATACTTGGGAAACATCCCCGCCGAAACTTCCGCGGAAGAGATCTTGAACCATGTGCGGAGCGGTCAGATTGAATCCGTTCGCTTGCTTCCTGACAAGAACTGCGCATTTATCTCTTTCCTGGACAGTAACTCCGCGACACACTTTCACTCGGATGCTATTCTTAAGAAGCTCGCCATCAAGGGTAACGATATCAAGGTTGGATGGGGAAAGCCTTCGCAAGTACCTACATCAGTGGCGCTCGCAGTGCAACAATCTGGCGCGTCGCGGAATGTTTACCTAGGCAATCTTCCCGAGGAAATGGCGGAAGAAGAGCTTCGGGAGGAACTTGGCAAATTTGGTCTCATCGATACTGTCAAGATTGTCAAAGAGAAGGCGATCGGCTTTGTCCACTTCCTGTCGATCAGTAACGCTATGAAGGCTGTCTCCCAACTACCTCAGGAATCCAAGTGGCAGGCCCCCCGGCGTGTCTTCTACGGTAAAGACCGATGTGCATACGTCTCAAAGACCCAGCAGCAGAACGCCGCCCAATTCTTGGGCATTGCTCCCGGATACGCACACATTCTTAATTCGGCAGACCGGGACCTGATCACGAATGCGCTTGCTCAGCAGTCCGTTGCCGCCGCAGCCGTGGCTACCACAGCTGGTGGCGTGAACAACCTCGGTAATCGCACTATCTACCTGGGCAACATCCACCCCGAAACCACAATTGAGGAGATCTGTAACGTCGTACGTGGCGGGCTTCTTCACCACATTCGCTATATTCCGGACAAGCACATCTGCTTTGTCACCTTTATTGACCCGACCTCGGCGGCTTCGTTTTATGCCCTGAGCAATCTTCAGGGTCTCATGATCCACAACCGTCGTTTGAAGATCGGATGGGGTAAACACTCAGGCCCCCTGCCCCCTGCCATTGCTCTCGCTGTGAGTGGAGGTGCTTCTCGAAATGTATATGTGGGAAACCTGGACGAGACCTGGTCTGAAGAACGTCTGCGTCAGGACTTTTCGGAATATGGGGAGATTGAGCTTGTCAATACACTGCGCGAGAAGAGCTGCGCTTTCGTCAACTTCACCAACATCGCCAATGCCATCAAAGCGATCGAGGGAATGCGAAACCGGGAAGAGTACAAGCGGTTTAAGATCAACTTTGGCAAGGACCGGTGTGGAAACCCTCCGCGTCAGGCTGGTAATGGTGGGCAGCAAGGCCGTAACGGTTCAGGGATGGAAGGCACACAATCCCCCTCTCCGGCCCTGAACGGTTATCAGCAGAACCTGAGCCAGTCCGGCTCTGGATCTAGCCCGACTCATCCCGCTCTGTCACCTGCTCCTGGATCCACTGGCTCTCAGAATGGACACCCGGGTAGACACCCTTTGCAGCAAGTATCCTCGCCGTCGGGCATTCTCAATGTCGGAGCCAACAATCCATTGACAATGTATCTCAATCAAATGTCGGCTCAACAATCTCAGGAGCAGGAGAACCGGCTGAATGATCCGATGACCCTTGCTGCGCTCCAGTCTCATTCCCAAGCTCCTCAGCAGCAAAGTCTCTATAATACAGCAAGCACTGGCGAGCTTACCAACGGGAGTATCGAAGCTCCGTTACATCAGCATAAGCCTTCCATCAACGGGTATCTGAATGTGACTAATGGTTCATCGGGACCTGGCCACCATTCAGCTGCCAGTACGGGTGGCCTGAGCGTACCTCGCGCACAGCATTCCCGAGCTGTCAGTCTGCCCTCATTCTCTCAAGAACCTTTTGGACATCTCTCAAGCCAGGCTGGACCACCTCGTTCGGGAATGGCTCATCAGCCTCAAAGCAGCTTCTCTAGTTTCTCATCCGCTCTTGGAGGGCTTAAACATGCAGGCTTTGGATTGGCAATCCAGAACGAAAGCTCGCTTCCTGGCTGGGCTGAGGAGGAGATTGGAGCTAAATGATCGCTGCGACGAATATCTCTTTTCTTAATCCCCGAGGGGGTTCCAATATTTCCTGCCCCCATGTTGGCATCTCGCCATTACCTTCAGTGTCACAATTTTTGATCCCTTTCTCTGTATTGGCTTGTCGCCCTTTGTGGTTCTTCACCTTCTCTAATTGTCTAAATGTTTCGTTTCTTGACCACACCAGTTTACACCGTTTAATTCCCTCATTTCCTCATATACCATCACTTGTATTGCTAGCTGGGTATGATTCTTCTCCTTCTTTATCTTCTTCTTCATTTGCCCCTTCTTTCCTTCTCTTCCCCTTCTCTGCTTCTCTTCTTTTGGCTACTTACATTATTTTATTCGATCTGCATTTGGCTACGAAAGCGGGCGGGATCTCGGCTACACCGCAGATCGGTTAGCTTCGGTCTGATCTTTATGTTTCAAGCTGCCCATTTGCATATGTGATGCCATTCGACGGAACTTAATCCAGAGCACAGCTCCCCCTGTTGCTTTTTGATAACGACAAGGGTTATATAGCGGGCGGAGGTAATTGATACCGGATGATGATAGCGCTGCCGCCATCAAACAACATAGGAGAGACGAAGAGGGCTATTCTCAAGAGCAAAGAAAATGAAAACGCCTGGTTAACTATGTGCAGTGTCGCAAGTAATGCCGATCGTACTGTTTCCACCCACTCATTGGGGTAATTTGTTGATGGTTTGCCCGACTTGGTAGCAGAAAAAACAGTTGTAATCACGTGATGATAACGCCGGCTAGATAGCGCTAACCTGAACAGGGATGAATCATGGAGATATAGCTTTGACTTCGCCTTCCCCCAGTAGCCGTGTAAATCCCAACTTCACAGCCTTTCGCTACTACCTCAACATGTCTCTGCCCCCGGAGCAGATCAATATCAAGCGGCGTCGCGAGGAAGAGCCCGTCGACACATTATGTGAGAAGCACCCATGCTTGATTGCTATTTTCCCCAAACCATTCATTGCATAAGAAGCCGTTGCCTCCAATTTCCGACCTGGCGACAATGTCATCTATCTAACTTCCAACGCTACGGCTTTTCTGCTTCAACCAGAACTAAGACTGACTCCTTTCAACAGATATCCAATCAGAGCTTCATCAAACCAAGCGAAGGTTTACAGACTTTGTTTTCCAACGTGTTCAGATCAAGGGCCATGGCCCCAAGGGCAATACCAGCGGGGCATCCAGTCCGTCGCCCCTGGCGTCCGGACAGCAACGGGTTATCCGCACTCCACGGTCCGTGAGCAGTGGCCTGCCATCTTCGAGCACGGCTGCGGCGGATGGTGTCCCCTTGGTGAGGGCGACCTCGCCCGGGGCGGAATACCGCGAGGAGCGCCGCCTCGCCGCCGCGCGGCGGGAGCACGACGAGAAGCTGAAGAGAGCGCTGCACTCATCGCCGGGCTCGTCGAGCCCGTTGTCGCCGGCCGCCAGTCGCTCCCCGGCACCACTCGACAGTGCCGCTGGGCCCACCGCTGCCTCCAGTGGGCACGAGAGTCCCGCGTCCTCGTCCTCCGCCGCGGCCTCGCAGCAGTCGCTGCGGCGGTTTCAGATCTCCCGGTCCAGTACCCCGATCAACAGTACCCTCCGGGGCACGGGGGCGGGGGTCCAGAAGCGGAAAGGGGACGGGCCCGTGGCTATCCTGGTGGAAAAGCTGAGGCGCAAACCCCATTCGAGGCAGGCGTCCTTGGTGGTGGGTGCGGTTGCGGGTGCTGAAGGGTTGGATGGGATCTCGGGTTCGGGCTCGGGTGCTGGGGCGGAGGCAGCCATTCGACCGCGCAAGCGGCCGGTGGTGAACCAGGCGGAAAGGAAATGGAGAGAAGAGCGTAAGAGCGCGATCTCGGCTGCCAAGCAGCATATCTCGCAGGTCCTGGATCAGGAATCCCAGGCTTCTCACCAGAGGACCTGGGAGGATGAGTCGGAGCGACTCGCAAAGGAGCTGGAACAGGTTGCCCTGGAGTTGGATGCGGAGATGGAAGTGGATATGCAACATGCGGGACCGCATAGCCACCCGAGCAACATTGGGTCCTCCTCGACTTTTGGAGGTGGGCAGCCGTCGCCGTCTCATTCGGTGGAAATGCCCAAACCGCCCCTGAAGTACCAACCGCGAACGCCCAATAAGCATCGCTCTACGCAGAAGCCCGGTGAGGGTAGCTCTGTACAGGATCCTAACTCGGCCGCAACGGCGACCGACGCCCTGCCTGCGGAACAGGATGACGACGAGGAGAGCGACGGCGAATATGTCTACGATACGTACATTCGGAAGCCGCTTCCAGTTAGTGGCATGCTTACGGACCCGCTTGCAAACCTGGAATTGGACCATGACGCCTGGTTCAAGCAGCACGGAATCGATATGACTCGTCAGGATATTGGAGTTATTGTCATTACGCAAGAGGATGAAGAATATTGGGAGAATTTTGCTGAGGAAGAGGAGGATGAAGAACGGTGGGACAGCGAAGATGCAGACTCGAATGGTAAGTCCAAGCGCAAGGTCCCGTCGAATTGTGAAGACAGGGAGAAGCGAAGGATGAAGGATGAGGGATGAAGGATGAGGGATGAGGGATGAGGGATGAAGGGCTAACGGGCATGGCGCGACACAGCTGAGAATAATCCCGCAAATGATTACCCGGATGAAGAACTGTCGTGGGACGATGAGGACGAGGACGCGACGGCTATCTACAGTAAATACCGAATTCATGCGCGGTCTGATGATGAGGAATTTGACTTTGACGACTCCGGCAGCGAGGGGCCCCGTCGATTCGACTATGGGTTCCGGTCACACGTGGAGTCGGATGAGGAAAGTTGGTGAAGAAGGATTCGAATAAGGTCTGTGGGACTGAGCTCAGAAAGCGGGAAGGCATTATTCACAAGTCGAAGAAGGCAGCCGAGACTAGCTGGGGTAGTTGCGTCTGCAGAACGAAAAGGCTGCCTGGTTTCGGTAAAGGACGGTCGATGCACGGTACTTTGGGGCCGGGTGCAGTGCTGCAGGTCGCAGGAGGAATCGACGACGACCACGGAAAAGAGAAAACGATACACCTATTGAGCCATTCAAGCAGAGAAACAAAAGAAAGACCTGTTCCTCGATAGCGATTTTGGATTATGCCCGCCCGCCCGCGCTCGAGAGAGAGGGGAGAGAGAGAGCGAGAGCTCTGAGGAAGATTCGGTCTACGAGCCAACGCATTCATGCGTCGCAAGACTGGCAGCAGTCTTCCTGCAGAATTCGCAGCCATTGTTGTCAAGCTCAATCGACAAAGAAAAAGGAAAGACAGATCACGATAGCAACAATTCGCAGGCTTTGTTCCGGTGATAGCATCTATTCGTCCACCTGCAAGTCAGCCAGCCAGCCATCGGTCAGTCTCACCTAGTCAGCCCTGCGATGCGTCCCAAGGAGGAAACAGACAAGACGCTCCATGCTGGAGATTGTGCAGCAAAACTGTTCATCCCATGAACAGCCAGCTATCAGTTACCCGAATTAGATTGAAGATCGTATTTGCCGATGATCGTGTCTCGAAAGGAAGGGAAGGGAGAGACAGACAAGACAATCAAATAGATTGGTTTTGATGCAGACCGAATGGAATGGAATGAATGATTGACTGATTGAATTTGAATGACTGAGTGAATGATTGAACGATTGACAGAACGAATGGGCCCCCATAAGATGATGCGGGGTAACTTGGACAATCCCCAACCCTTCCATCCTTCCATCCTTTCTTTTTCTTGTCGAATCTTTTTCTTGTCGAATCCTTCACTGTCGTCTCTGTCTCTCCACCCCTCAACAATAGTATTCTCCATTATGACAACAATAACAGCAGGACGGGACCAAGCGAAGGATAGCTTACCCGCTTACTACACCCGAATCATCCCATGATACTTCCACATGCACAATCTCATCATCGTTTCTGCATCCCAATCCTATTCCTTCCTGAGCGTGAGGATCCATGCGCGATCGCCTTCTGGTCGGCAAGAGGGTTTTGTTCTGTTTTGTTTGATATTTTCTTTGTTTCAATCGAGTTTCTTGTCCTTGTCCTTTGCTTTTGCTTCGCCCTTTTTTCTCTTTCTTTTCTTTGTTCTTTTTTTCTTTTCTTTCTTTTTCTTTTTTTTGTGCTCTTTCTTCTTCCTTCCCAGGTATCGATTGTCTATGGGGCCGTAGTCAGAACTCCATAGAGCCTATCAACTCATTCGCCAGAGATCCTGACACCGCTGTAAGTTATTGTATATCACCTGCGCCCACTTCTTCGTCCTGTGTATTGTACTTAGTAAGATGTTCACCTTATGTACAACAATGCCTGATACCAATATGATCGAGTCATTGTCGTCTTCACCACCACCACCACTATTATTCACAACAATAAAAACAACCATATTGCATTTATACCTCCAGAATGATTGTTCTATCAATTCTCAATTCCCCATGCCCAACCGAACATCACCGATCATTCCCGCGGGGATATTATCAACATTACCATCCAGAACAGAAAAGGATTTGGATCAGCACGACCTCCTACCACAAACTGCCACCCCAACCCAACCCCCCTCTCCCCGACAGATCTCGCTTTCGCTCGGTCAATCAAAAGGTCCATCACAGAGTTCTAGCGATTTTCTCTTCCTTTCCTTTCCGCACCCACTTTTCCTTAAGCTATTGCGTCAAGAGAAACGCAGTGGTTAGTAGTCAGTAGTCTCGAGAGAGGGGGAGGGGGGGCTGTGCAGTGGGCTGAACATAACAATCATATCCCGGTACTGAGTACAGAGTCAGTGTGCATAACATGCAAGCAAGGACTGAACTGCTATCATGCTGGCCATGAGTCTATTATGGTTGTACAGTATATTGATGTGCAAATAATGTACTGTATAACGCTCAACAACACACATACCTACATGCAACATGCGTTCCGCTTCCTCTTTACGGCCCTTGCAACGTGCAAATACCTTGTGGAGCTTAGCTAGCTCGCTAGTCAGCCAGCGAGAGCCAAAGCAGCCCCCTTGATGATTCGGTGAGCTTCCCCATGTACTTTACCTCTGAGCCTCACGGGTTGCTGTAGCCGTAGAATCTCATACAGGGAGTATGATGGGAGGGAGGGATAGATCTACTGTAGTATAGTAAGAGTGGGAACCCAGGTCCAGGTAAGGTTGTACTGTACGTAGATAGTTCAACGGTGACGGATCTCTCCTTTTCCCCTATTGGGATGGGGTGGTCGCAGCACTCTGGGAAATAAGCGAGATGAGGTATTTGTCATGCTTCAGCCAGGCCAACGTATCATTGTTATACATCATATCAGATCATCTTTTGAAGGGTTGGATCTCAAGGCTTTCTTAGGTTCACAACCTTCCCTTCTCTTCCCGTCTTATGCATGACTAATTCGGTAACAAGTCTTCTTGTATTGCTTGCCTCGTTGTTACCAGTCTGACATGTACAGTACCCGTATTGTACATTACGTTACTTTCCATACCTCCTTGTCAACGGACGATCTCGGACTTCGGAGGTAACTTATGGTGCGGTGTAGTCGGCGACATAGGCACGAAAAGGTTTAAATTGGTATCCACCCGGGGATGATGATAGAATTCTTCCACGTCAGATAAGTCATCACGGATAGCTTGAACGAGGTATTCGCCATCTAGACAAGAATGGTAGGTCCATCTAAATGGTATTTGATAAGTCTGACCAGACAGACAGCGAGGTAAATAGGCGGTATGCCTCCATATATAAGAAAGCAACAAACAAGTGTAAATCGACAAGTTCCTCCCACAGGCCCAGTGCGTTTTATGCATGCTCATAACGACAAAAAAGCAGACATCCTCCCAGGCAAATTTCAAGACATGCTAAAAGTGACTTTCAAGGGGCAAATAACGAGCGTAAGAAAAGACAAAGAGAATCATAGGAGATAAGACAGACGAAGAAAAAAAAAATTAAAACGTAGAGGTATCGTCGGGATCGGCCGTGAAGCAAAGATGTGTTAGGTAGCAGTGGAGTAGGTAAGAAGAGAGAGGGTGGGGGAGAGCAAGCGCTGATGAGCGCAGGAGGGAAAGAAATGACTCGACCACCAGGCGGATGCTTGATGAAGCTATCCGAAAACAGGATTATCTACCTCGCAATTCGTCGTCTGCGCACTGTTTCTTTGTCCTCGCGCATCCATGGATACCAGGTCCCTACCCACTCAATAACTCCAAATTTCGGTGCCCCCGAGTCGGCAACTCCCGCCCCCTCCCGCAGAAAGTCGCCGTCACGCATGCGGCGCTGCTCTCGTAATGTGGGACACTTCTTCTCTTTGATGAAGCGGTAAAATTTGCATTGGATTCCTTGGAACCCACGTCGCTGCCGATCGGGGAACTGCCGGTTAAAGCTTTCACGGACCTCCTTCCACTCTTGGCCGAGGTCCACACGGTGGTACCAGATGAAATACATCTCTTCTTCTTCGTATTTGGGTCGGGGAGGCCGCCGTCGCTCCGCAGCATTGCTGGAGCTGCTAGATACCGAATCATACCGATCACGAGAGTAGGGATCCGGGGACGATTCCACCGATCGTGTCCGGTAGGGCAGGTATCCCTGCTCCTGCGAGTCCTCCCGATAAAGATGGCGGCTCTCTGAGTAAGGCGTGTAAAAGTACTGATTCGGACTGGGCGGGTATAAGGGCGAGCCGTGCTGGCTATATTGTGACCGAGTACTGGCAGTTTCACTTTCGGCGGATGGATTCAATAGGGAATCAATGGCCATGCGGCTCTGACGAGACGAGGCAGGCAAGTAGCTCGCCCGGTGCTGCTCGTGAATGGCCTGCATTTTCGACTTCGGTGGTGTTTGTGACGAGTGTCCTCGAGGATGGTTGTCTTGCACAAGGACACAAGGCTCAGCGTAGAATAAGATGATGAATCAAGGCGAGCCACAGTGGGGGAAACAATGGGCACCACTGATAAGAAAGGAAGCAAGAAAGCAGATGCAGGTTCAGATCGAAGTCGCACCTTTTGTATGAGGTAAAAGAAGGGGTAGCAACAATAATGGGGAAGGAACCACCAAGAGATTCGACTTGGGTATCGGCAGGCAAGACGATATCTCAAATAGTAGACAAGCCAGGATAGCCAAGAAGTCTCGAGAGGCGGGGAACCGAACGAGGAAGAGAGGAGAGAGAAGAATAAGAATGATAGAAGTGAAATTGGAGCACGGAAGATCGAAGCCACCCAAATGTGATAGATAGTAGGGGTTTGGTTCAGCAACAAAGGCCAAAGATAGTTCCTTTTTCCACTCCACGGGGAGAGAAGTAGAGTGCCTTGGCTGTTTGCAACCAAAAAAATCTAGGCAGATCAATGACGTGGGAAGACAGAAGAAATATCAAAAGTGAAAAAGAGGAGCTGTGCAAGATGGAAATCCTTCGGGCCAGCCTTCCTCCTTAAAGCATCACCAACGCCGCACGAGACTTCCGGTTGGATTCCCGGTTGAGGGCAATGGCGACCAAGGGTCCCGTTAGTGGTGTTCAGTTGTGCTGACCCATGCAGCGGTACCAGAGCCCTGGGACGAACTGGCCTGTGATAGAGGCCGACGGTGACTGCGCCCCCGGTGTAGTTGTGGGGGGGGGAAGGGGGGTGGTTATGTCGCTTCTATGGCGGGTAAATGAGGTTGACCGGAGTGATGCGTAGCGCCAGCAGCAGTAGCAGGAGCAGGGGTGGGTGGTGGCGTGGTGGTAATGGGTGGGTGGGTGGGTGAGGGAGTGGTACGTCGTTTGGTGACAAGGACGAGAGGGGTCGAGGCGAGGCAAATGCAAGAGGCGAAAAGAGCCTTGTGGTGATGATTATTATGGTGGTGGTGGTGGTGGTGAGGATGGTGATGGTGGTAGTATCCGTAGTACTTGGTAGAAATGGTTGTCTGGTGATGTTGATGCTTTTCTCTTTTCGTACCTTCCACTTCCAGTACTTCACCACCGCGGGGAGGCCCTCTCTTTAAGAGTTATATACTGTACAGAACTCGCCCCCAGATAGATTTGAAAAAAATAAACTTATCAAGTCAGCGGAGATAATGCCCTTGAGAAGAGAAATTATAATTGAGAAGAGACAAAATTATTCTTTTTTCTTAAAAAGATTTTTGGAGAACGATTTAAAAGAAATAAAGAAATAGAGAGAAAGCAAAAAAGGTAAAAAAAAGAAAAAAAAAAAAAACAAAACAAAACAAAACAAAACAATTTCCCAGCGCAGAGCTTGTTTCTTATATGCAAGGATGTCGTCTGGAAATGTTCATTCAGTTATTTTGAAGGATTCGCCACTTTTCTCCACGACAAACGGATCCTCCGCAAGTTCTAAACGGTAAGAAGTGTAATACTGATAATAACAATAATAATTATAATTATAACAATAATCTTGCTGATGTGGATGTCATGGACGGATGGAACAGTTCGGGGAGTGGAGATCATCCAAGGATCACGTTGGCAGGCAAGACAGACAGACAGACAGACAGACAGACAGACAGACGTGCAGTTCATGCTGGAACA